GCGACATTAGCACGACAGCTTCCTTGCGGCTTTCACTGCCACGCATCATAACATGCCTCGCTCGCCAGTGGACTTGGCAGACAGACAAGATTAGGCAGACAAACCAATAAGATGCCTACAGCACGACCGCCACTGAGCCCGGCTTCTCGCCATATCCTGCAGTAGTTGAATCTGTTGTTGTTGTAGTTTTGTAGACTGTAATAACATAACTTAAACCATTAGGAATAATTTTGTGGTAAAGACAAGTGCTCACGAAAATGATGTAGCTATTATACTGAGTCTTATGTAGTGTACTTTTGAATAACAAAAGGCCTCTTGTGAAGATGACGCTGGAATATGAATTTAAGACATTAAGCATCTAAAAACCATAAGTTGTTGACGAGTCATTTTATGTTAGACATGGTTGCAGGTAAAAGTTTCTTTAGTTCTTATAATAAAAGAATCGTGTGGGTGATGAAATTACAAAATCCAAAACAGAAAATATAGTAATGGTGAAAAACTTGCCAAATTAAAACATTTTTATTGGTAAATACAAAAATAATGTTTCAGGCCCTTCATCGAGTTTCTAATGAGAATAAAACTTAATAAAAGAGTTAGGGTGAAATAAAATAAAAACAACACTTAACATGTGGCTCGAAGGCTTTAGGACGCGTTTACCAATAAGAATTTTTTTAATATTGTCAGTTTTGCACCATTACTGTATTTTCTATTTTGGATTTTGTAATTTCATTACTCATACAATTATGTTAAAACTCAATCAAGTGAAAGTAAAAAAAAAAAGTCATAAATCTCAGCAAACTCAAAACACAACAAGGCTTAGGAAAAGAATAAGGATTACTGAGTGTGAATGTAGAGGGAGTCATGTGTGTCCCACTTTTATTGGTGGAGGATTCTGTTGCAAGATTACATCATCATGAAGTGGTGCAAATTGACATGGTTCTAAGTGAGATTAGGTGGGAGTTTTCACAAGGCTCTTTGGCAGATACCAGGAATTCAGGAAGAGGTGAGTATCTGTTCTAGAATTTATTGTTATTAAAATAATTCTTGACATCAATTTTTCTTTGTATACAGTAAATGAAAGGTTGAAACAAAACAAAATAAGATGAATTCATGTTATCACTGGAATACAAGCAGTGCAAATTTCAGCACAATGAGCAAAGTTTAAACTTCAATAAACACGTCTGTTAACGACATTGCCAAGGAAAAGAATTAAATTAATTTTGAGTGCAAGTGCTTATGGGTACCTACTACACATGGAGGAGGTGTCATCCTCCTGTTGGTGGAGGGCTATTTTCAAACGATGATTACATCACGCATTTCCGAAGTTCATGTTAAAACATATTGTTGCGTCAGCGATGTCACGTGACTAGTGTCACGCCACGTTTCTAGAACTATCCTGTTCCTTCAGGAGTGATCTAGCATTTGCTAGATAATGTGTGTAGGTAGTGAGTAATTGAACTGCAGTCAGAAAGTATTGTTGAAGTTAACGTTCGTTGTTAAAACGTTTGTTATAGAGCGACTGTTGAAAATAAGTGTATCGGTAAAGTTATATTCAGAAAGAATAAACCAGTTTTATTAAGTAAGGACTTGTGTCGCTAAAGTTTCGTCGGAACGAAGTTACGGAAAATTAATTAACAAATGGAGACGTAACAATATCATAGATGGGAGACAACTAAAGGCTAATGGCATGCACAAAATCTCAAAGGCAGACAAGCAAGAAATAGCTACTGTATACAGAAAGGTAAGAATATCATTTCAGAATTGGTAATTCTGCAGCCTTTCTTCACACCTTTCCATTATTGCTATATTTAAAGAAAGCTATATTACAGCAATGTGTTAGAGAAACTCATAATACTCAGAAAATTGTTTTTCTTTTAATAGCATCAACATCACAACAGTCATGTATCTTAGCTAGTAAAGTTAATCATGATTAAGTCTGTTATAGCTAGTTGTTAAATACATAGAAGAACAACATAACTAAAACCACAACAGAAAACAAACAAAAAAAAGAGATCTCAGAATTTCAGTTGTTGAGAACAATGTCAGAAACATTAAATACACACATTTACTGTACATTCATTAGTTATGTCTCATTGGAGAGCTCTGTAAATTTATAAAATATTCAGAAACTTCTCTACTTTAACAAAAAATCTACTAGCCAGTAATTCCAAAGCTAAGTATAAAAGATAATAAAGATGCTACAAAAAAAATAAAAAATCATCACTACAAAAAAATTCAAAAAATAACCTGGAATAACTAAAAATATGTTCAAAATAATTTGATGTGATTAAAACCGTTTTCAATGTCCAATAATGAAAAAAAACTAAAGATTATCAACTATATTAATTCCTGTAATAATTGTTAATATAACAATTAATTTACAAGTTATTCCTTGTAATTTACAAGTTATTCCTGTTGAAACTTTCAGCTTAAAAACAAAGAGATGACAAGAAACTCACTAGCTCCAAGAATAAAACCAGCTATGTTCCAGAAAGGTATCAGCGCTGTTGGTCGAGCTCGATATTTTGGTACAAGTTGCTCAAAGGTACGAAGGTGCTCCTTCTCTTGATCCCACATCTCCTTAATAACAGGACCAACACTTGTTCTGCCGAGAACTGCCATTTGACCTGCATAAATCCTATCGGCTCCAAGTTCACCAGCATGGTCTACTCGCAGAATTCTGTCAACCAGAAATCTATGATTTTTATCCAGTCTGGTGTCATGCCTTGGCCTACTTGACAGACTTCTCCGAATGATAATTGTAGTGGAGTAGGGAACAACAGACATTACAGCCACTCTGTATGAGATATAAACATTGGCATCCATAAGTACATACCTTATAGAACATTATTCTAATTTCATAGGTGAAGAATTCTATCATAAACCTATATTAAACACAAGTAATGAATGCTTACATCTGAGAATTAAACTCAAAGGAAGAAGTCTTCACATCTCAGAATTAAACACAAGTAAGGAATACTTCATATTTGGGATTTAAACACAAATAAAATACATAACATCTGAGAATTAAACACTAGTAAAGAGTATTTCAGATCTGGTATTTAAACGTAAGTAAAGAATGATTCACATCTGGGAATTAAACCCAAGTAAAGAGTATTTCAGATCTGGTATTTAAACGTAAGTAAAGAATGATTCACATCTGGGAATTAAACCCAAGTAAAGAGTATTTCAGATCTGGTA